TCTCTCTCTCTGACGCAAAACAACTCAAACCAAGATTGCTGATATTCAAGGTACCATCTTGGCTCCTTCTGACTTATAACAAGTAATTTTAGAGTCTCCCACAGGGCAGTGAAAGAGAGAGAGAGATACTCTGGATAGAAAAAACAAAAACCATAGACAATAGTTACAACAAAACCAGGTATTTCCAAGTACCGCAAAATACGATTCGACAAGGTAAGACCACCCACAGCCACGTGCCTGCGGGCCATCAATGTCTGGATGAAAGCAGAGGGAAGCAATGGGCATCCGATACACCCAAGAACAAGAGCATCCCCAAATAGCTCAGGGGCAGCGGCTGGAAGCGCGATGGGCCTGCAGCCCAGCAGCTGGGACAGGGAGGGGCCTTGCCTGCTCAGTAGCAGGGGAGAGCCGAGGGCTCCAGGTGAGCAGTACCGAGAACTAGAGTGGCCTGCTACCTACAGGCTCAAGAAACTGACCCACCAGAGCTCCTGTGCAGGGCGGAGACCACAGTGAGGAGCTGCTGGGCTTGGAGTCAACATCGAGCAGGATGGAAACAATATAAAGAGGAAGACAAGAGCCCAGCCAGTGTGGCTCAGTGGTTGAGCGTCGACCCATGCACCAAGAGGTCGCCGGTTCGATTCCCGGTCAGGGCACATGCCCAGGTTGTGGGCCAAATGCCTAGTGGGGGGCATGTAGGAGGCGGCCAATTGATGTTCTCTCTCATCGATGTTTCTCTCTCTCTCTCCCTCTCCTTTCCTCTGTCTCTAAAATCAATAAAGAAAAAAAATTAAAAAAAATAAAAAGAGAGGAAAAACCAGAAAAAAAGTGTGTGTGTGGGGGGGAACAGTCAGAAAACAAGCTGTTTCTTCCTTCTCTCTTTTTTTTTAGCACTGACTTAAACAATGGAAGCAGGACCTCTGTGCATTGTTCATATCCTGAACCACTTCTTTTTCTAAGAGTTTTGGAAAACTAATTTCATATAAAAACGAGCAACAGAAATGTATCTAGGTTGACTCCCATACAAAGTTATTATAAGAAAGGGGAAGAACAAGGAACAGACCGAAATCCCTACGGAGAGCCCACGCATGCCAGAAGAAGGAGTAAGACATAATATTTCAAAACGAGCCGAGAAGCATTCATAAATGATACAGCCATGAAAGAACAACAGGGATGAGAATTAGAAAAACTCAGACACGGAAAAGAAGGACTCAGGGAAGAATGCAAGATTATACAAGAAATGAAGTCTACACTGGCGTGATCGGCGGGAGAAGGGAAGACCGTGCTGATGTCTTAAGAGAAATCGCAAGGTGAAAGAGAGAAAAAAACATTAAGATGTGAAATAAATGAAGAGATAAAAAGTATTCAAAAAATAAGCAAGTCGTTGAAGGTTGGCAAAGAAGATTCCATGTATGAATAATAGAAATCCCCGAAGAAGAAAACCAAATTAAGGAAACAGAACAAATACTGAGCACTCTCCTGCAATTATAAGAAACGTATTCACAACCCCCACTGAGAGAGCACACCGCGTGCCTTAGAACATCAATATACAGCAACGAACACCAAGACATATTCTAGTGAGAAGGCTTAATTTTATAAAAGAGAGAAAAAAAAAATCCTTTGAAGTTCTAGGCAAAAATAGACTTACCAGAAACAGAAAATTAGATTATTATTAGGCTTTTTAATAACACATTTGTGAGTCAAGGATTTTTGTATCCAGAAAAAACATTGACTTTCAAGTAGAAAGGGCACAGGCAGCTTGTTACTAAACATGCAAGAGATTCGGGAATATTTCCCATGAGCTCTTCCTGAGGAATGAGCTCGAGACAACAACTCAACCACACAGACATCCTCCTAAGGGCTGATGGTGAACATCAATCACAGAGCCGCTGATGAAACGAACATGAAATGAGAGCGGAAGGGGATGAGCGTTGTGTGTAATGGCCATGTGCTCAGATAATATAGTATGATGATTAAATAAGAAATGGGAAAAGCAGAGGCAGAAAACAATTTTAACTGCTCTCCGTGATTATAAAACATATTAATGGTGGTGGTATTAGGATTGATATTCTGAGACTGTTCTATGTGCAATGAGGGATAGGTAAGCGAGTCATTATGGGCTATTTTAGTTCTATCAATCCCTTCGTCCTTGAGAACTAGGGCATAGGGTGTGCAAAGAAGCAGATAACAGCTATGTAGAGAAGAGATAATGAAAAAAAATTCTGTAGTCCTGAATTTGAATTTGAAGTGCCAGTATGAACTCATTAGATACATTATTTTAAAATTATATATGTAAATGTCTATATGTGTATTTCTATCAGCGTCTACTGGAGAGGCCTAGAAAGCCAAGCCAATAATAGCAATCATTCCTATGAACCTTGACTGTGGTCTTAAAATATTCTTTCCCACGCACAGAAACCAGGGCTTCTATGAGAAATGACTGATTTCAAGCCCGGGGCTGGAAATGTACAAGACAGGGTTGGAACACCTGCGGTACCAGTTAGTGAAGTTACTTAGACTCATGTCAAAGGCCCCGGGAGCCAACTAGAAGAGGTTCCCATTGGTCAAAGTCGGGACAATTTGAGCTTCAAAAGGCTAATAATTATAATAGATTCAAATTCATCAAATATGTATAAATTCATGAGTTCACAATAACATTTTAAAGACAGCTAATTGACTCCTTTGGGATGATAATAGAGAGGCAATGAATTGTTTGAAAACTGGCAAATAAAGCAGAAGAATCGTTTATCCTGCCTTTCATAGTATGGATGGTATTATTAGGGACTACGGGACAGAGGTCTTTAAAATATGATGAGGAGGCCCGGTGGTGTGGCTCAGTGGATAGAGCGTTGTCCCATGGACTGAGAGGTCCCAGTTCGATTCCCAGTCAGGGCACATGCCCGGGTTTCAGGCTCCATCCCCAGCAGGGGGCGTGCAGGAGGCAGCCAATTGATGTATGTCTCTCACATTGATGTTTCTATCTCTCTCTCCTTTCCTCTCTCTAAAAAAAAAAAATCAATAAAAACATGTTTTAAAAAATATGATGATGAGGAGGGGAATTTTCTCTAATTTTCTTCAATTATAAATGACATACAAATGATAGATTAAAATGGCACCATTTTGCAAACTCGTGAGAACTAATAGGTCTGGTCACTGAGCGTCAACGGCTGCTCACATCACAAAAAGAGAAAAGAGAAAACCACTTATGACGGCCTCCAGATGAAAGAAAACACCACCATTGATGGTCTTGCCAAAGGGATGAAACTGGAGTCTGATCAGGCCTCTGGGCACAGCTGCCAGTTTTCAGGACTACGGGGCACAGAGCCGCATGCTCAGTTATACCGCGGGGATGCAGTCAGCAAAGTCCAGGCTACTGGGATCCTCAAGGCAGCCCCACAGCTCATTTACAAGGAAACAGAAGGGATAGAAAACCTGTGGATTAGAATAGACTTAAAGACACATAACAAGTGTGAAGACCGGTCAGAATGGTGGCTGGGAATGCCCACTTGAGAGCTAACTCTATACAGCAATGCAAGGAAATGATCACCGTGAAGTTCAGGACCTTGTTTTTTTAGGGGGGAGGAGGGATTTATGACGGGATGAGGGGTGCGGATGGGGCTTCTGGAGCGGCTACCTGTCTGTTGCTTCTTGACCTGAATTATGTTTTCAAGGGTGTTAAAAGTACACATTCATTTTGTGTCATTTTCCACATTTGCTTGACCAGTAAAAGGTTTAAAAAATCACCCACAGAACAGTAGTATACTTTGGGTATGGATTCGTACCAGTGAGTGTGAGAGTGTAAGACCTGACAAGAACAATGCCCGTGAAGTTCATGTGTGTGGTTCCCACTAGAGAGGTGGGAGACCAAAGGGCATTTCAAGATTATCCTAATTTGCCCTGGCCTGTGTGGCTCAGCGGTTAGAGCGTCGGCCTGTGGTCCAGAGAGACCCAGGTTCGGTTCCGGCTAAGGGCACGTACCTCAGTTTGTCCCCGGCCCTGGTTGGGTTGTGCGGGTGGCAGCCACTCGATGTGTCCCTTTCATGTTGATGTTTCTCTCTCTCTCTCCCTCCCACTCTATCTGAACAAAATATGGAAAAATGTCCTCGGGTAAGGATAAAAAAAATAAAATAAAAGATTATCCTAATTCAACACAAGAGAGACCTGATGTATATTAACATCTTAGCAACGGTCAATCTGGGACATGGTAAACCCATGTGTTTATATATTATCTCTCTCAGTCTTTATTTTTGAGTTTTAAAATTTTAGCCTGTGCATATATATTGTGGCTGCAAGCAATGGATTCTCTGAGAACACCCCACGGCTACTGCACAGCATGCTGTGCAAATCCAAGCTACCATCAGCTTTAGTCCGACTACTCTACTTAGAAAAAATAAGGTAGGCATCCTTGATGAATTCGTTCCTTCACATTGAATGAATGAAAATCGGACTCTCAAGGAGGTTTATTCACTGACTGTTCACCTAACAAAATCTTTAAGGGTAAAAGAATATTCTCTTTCTGCTGAGATTGAAAAACAAATATCGGACTTGTTTAAACCACCAAGCGGCTCCTCCTTTTGCAGTTCCTATGTAAGGGATTTTGTTGAGATCCCATTCAAATCGATGGAATGTTCCCAGGGTAATTCCCCATTGGGGGGTTTGAGATCAGTTGTCTTCTTAGCCCGAAGCTTCGTATTGGGGCTGTGCATGCGTCCGGGTATGTGTAGGTGGTCAAATTAACAAATTATTGAAAATTGTTCACTATTTGGACCATGACTGACCACTATGTCAGAGGATAAAATTGCCTAGAGTGTTTTTTTGTGTGTGTTTCTTTTCGTTTCTATAATCCTCATAAGAATATTTTATAGAAATAATACAATCAGCCTCTCCTCCATAAGCATGTGTAGGGTTCAAACTCACTCATGATGACCCATGATGATCTACTGATGACTCATGAGTGAGAAAAAAGAGGGGGCCCTCAGCCACACGACCCCTTCTGTGCTCACCAGGCAGGTAGCTGCACAGTCTCTCCATGGAGGCCCGGACCGTGGAGTTGTGAACTTGAGCCAGCTGTTCAATCACAGACACCACCACCACACAGCCTGGAAGACAGAGGACCACGTCAGAAAACCGTGCTGGGGAGTCTGGGGGTAGAACGGGGAACACCGACCTTGAGAACACCAACCCTTTCCAAGACAGAGAACTTTTGTTGGCCATTCACCTTCGGAAATCTACCATGGGATTAATTCACCGTGATTTATAGTGAAATGGGAAGTGTGGTAAAAATGATCGTGGGTTTGGGATCAGAAAGACTGGTTGTCAGCCTGATTTTGCCACGTGTGAGCTCTGTGACCTTGGGGACGTCAATGTGTCTTGCTTTACGTCTGTTTCTCTTTGATCCCATGGGAGAAAGATGTCATTAGAGGAGATCAGGCAAGAATTGAATCTTGACTTAAATCTTGCACTTACCATCCGGCCTTTCGAAGCTTTCGTTCCCTCCCTGCAAAGTAGGTGCTACCGTGTTTCCCGCAGGGCCTCTGTGCTGATGAAGTGAGAACAGCGCAACTGAACATGCCCTTCAAACCATAACGCTGTTGTAAAATATCTTCCACCCCGCAGCTACGGCGCCCATGGTGGGAAAGCCCGTAGCGCCCATGTAACGAGCGTCCAGAAGGAACCTTGGATTAAGTTAGACATAGATGCCTTCATCTACCTTGTTGATAAGTGTGAAGGCCCCAAATTGCTAGGCTGAAACTCCTAGGTGGTCCTATCTTCAGCCTTGATCTCCTGAGCTGCTGGGGAAGCCCCAAGGGAGGGACTCTGTCTTCTACATACAAGGGTTGGTTGGTCAAAGACCAGCAGGTCTGTGCAAGGAGGTTTCTAGGCCTCCCTGAGCCTAGGGGAATAGCGCTCGTTAGCAGAGGCGGGTTTCCAAGGAGGCGAAAGAGAGCTTACATCTGAAATGAAGCTCCAGGGTACCTGGCTCAGCAGTGAGCTCACCATTATCCACCTGCTCAAGGAGCTGGGGACCCCAGTGCACACGCAAGGTGTCATTAAAACCACGTTTCCACCAGGGCTCCTTGAGGGAAGGTGGCAGGTAACAGGTGAGGAGTACCATCGGGCATTGCTAGACAGACAGAAAGAAAACCTGTAAAATGAGGACTTGCCAAAAAAGAAGGAGCGACCTCCACCTTCCTGGACATGCAGCCTTGGGCGAGGCTTTGGCATCGACTCTTCTGTGTCCTCAGATGAAAGTGGGCAAAGCTGGGCTTATCAAATTCGAGAGGGTGCGGTTCTGAGAATCACAGCCTGATTGCTCTGAGGAACCCCTCGCTGGGGCGTTTCTCCACATCAACCATCAAGGTCGATTAGACGTGCCTTTAACCTCGTCCACGCACTGCAGGTTTTACTACCTTGCGATAAATTTAGCAGCTGATCCTTATTAGCACTTTATGGTCTAGAAAGCATTCTCATATATATTTTATTTTATCTTAAAGATAATTTCTTAAAAATATAGATGTGATGCGATCTCATTTTGGAAAATGTAAAAAAATAGAACAGCGTGAAAAAGATAAAACATCACTCAAGTCACCCAGCGATAAACCGATTTCACTTTTATTTTAAATACATCAAATATATTTAATCTATGCGAATATTTTCAACACTTATACTACACTTTTACACCCTGACTTACGTCTCTGCTGATCGCCTGTTAGGTTAGGTGGAGCTAAATACATTTTCACAGCAATTGAAAAACAGTTATAAGTACGTATGTCGGACTGTGATAAGAATTTGCAGTGTGGTATAGTTGAAAATAGGGGGCGGGGTTTGAAATAAGAAAAAAATAACTTGGGTTCTAGTACTGGCTCAGTCACTTACAAATGGAGTGACCTTGAACAAGTTACCTGCCCCTCTGGAAATTCATGTTTAGACCATAAATTCATTGAGGGTGGGAATGGGGTCTTATGCTAACTGAATGCCTGCCATGGGGCCTGGTTTGGGGGACAAGGGGGGTCTGCTGACCTGAAGTGAGCTGTCAGGGGAAGCAGCACCTCAGCGACACGCCCCTTGGGTTGCTGGGGTCTCACGGGGGAGGGTTAACGGTGCACCTGCTGTGGTGTTGTGCTCAGTCACCCCACCCACAGCGTTCTTTACTCTTTGTTCCGGTCTCCTTGCAGGATGTGGCTCCCCTGCTCAGGCTGGTGTGAAACACCCAGTGCCCTTTCCTGAGTCTAAAAGCAGATTCTACAGCAAACGGTCCCTCGTGCAGCTCAGGGTCAAGGAAGGAGGCGGTGGGGACGGGGCTGAGCTCTAGCACAGCCATGGCTCCCCTCGGCGTCTCATCAGGGCGCTGCAGCGTCGGGCACCGGGCTGCCCTGGAGGCACAGTGGGGGTGGGGATCTGACAGATCGCAGCTGGAGACCCGGAGCAGACACCAAGTGGAGGAGATTCCACTGTGAGTCATGCCTGAGACCTCGCCTGTGGCTTTTATGGCTTTTATGATTTTCCATGCCTTCTTCAAACCATCGTCACCCCAGACCTGGCTGACTGCAGCTGTCAATTATCACACCATTTTCAACATGCACCTTCAAGGGAAAGGAACAAATGACAAAGAGCCTGGGCAACTTGAGTGATGGAGGTGGAATGGGAACATTCAGACACGTCCTGGATAGGGCTGGATGCATTGTGAGTTGAGCTAGTTTTCAAATGAACAAGGTTAGGGAGCCTCTTGGGGTGCATCTAGACTTGATGCCATTTTCTTGTTCAGATAAAGTGACAAAGGAGCACACAAAGATCATTGTGGAGTGTTGCGTTGCCTCAGTTTCCCCTAAATGACCCGTCTTTGAGATAACAACTATTTGGAGGCACCAAAACATAAGCAAATGTTACTCCACTCGGAAGAGCCTCATCCTCTGTAGGGAGCTAATTTTTCTTCCACTCCCCGTCCTGCTGAAGGGCTCTGTACTTTTCTCTGTGTTATTTTCAACCTTCGCCTCTTTGCTTGGTTGTTCAAGATCCTCCTCAAACTCCAGGGAACCCTCACCTTCTTCCCCCAGTTCATGGCCTCCTCCTCTCCAGTGCCCAGGGTTTCATCCCTACTACCTAGGACTGGTGTTAAATGCTACTCTGACTTTCTCCCCTGCAGACATCGCCTTCTTTGAAGGCAAGTCAGTGACTTATTGCTCCAGGGCTCAGCTCCACACTTGGTACATGAGCTCTGCGCACATTCGCTGAATGGATGAGTGACACCCAACAGTCCTGGAATGCCCTCGATTCCCATGCAGAATGGGACCACCTCTTTAGGGAGATTTGCACGAGAACAAAACCTATGGAAGGCGAGATGTACCACGTGGAAAATTCCGCCAGTTGCTGGCTCTTCCTTTTCCCTGAGGCAAAAGCCATATGTATATTTCCCAGACATCGGAGAAGTCTCCCAAGGCTGGCTTAACAAAAAACACGGGCATTCGTCATAGTTGCTGAGCTTCTGCTCTCGCCGAGAAACTGTGCAAGGCTCGGATGGACCCCAGAGGAACAGAAGGTGACCCCGTCCATAGGGAGCTCACAATATAGTTTCCAAATTCACATAAACTGGATGGTAAATAGCAAGTAGTCAAGTGTTAGGTGAGACGTGACTTTAAGAAAATCTAAGGCATGCCCTGGCCAGTTTGGCTCAGCAGTGAGAGCATCAACCTGAGGATGGAAGGGTCTCGGGCTCGATTCAGGTCAAGGGCATGTACCTGGGTTGCAGGTTCGATCCCCAGCCCTGGTTGGGGTCCTGTGGGAGGCAACCAATCAATGTGTCTCTCTCCCATCCATGTTTCTCTCTCTCTCGCCCTCCCACTGTATTCAAAATTCAATGGAAAAATATCCTCGGGTGAGGATTAAAAAAGAAAGAAAGAAAGAAAGAAAATCTAAGGTAGACAGGGTGGGAGAAAAGACATTTCCAGGAAAGAAATAAGATTGGTGGCCAGAAAGAGCATGGTATGTTTCTCCATATTTTGCCCACAATTTAATTAGCAAGTTCACTGGTACCTAAATAATTTCTTACAATGAGTGGCAAATAGACTTGGTGAGATGCCAGCCTGAGGAACCCACCGTGGGTTCCATGGAGCAGGGGTATTGGATGGCCGTGGAGCCTAAGGGAGCCCGTCTTAGAATTTTCCTCAAGGGGGCTCCATTTGCAGGGGCCCCGTGATCACAAACCAACCAGTCCCTTCCCCGAACATTCAACCGAGCACATGTCTGTGTTTGTTTAATCCCCGGCTTGGAAGGATGAATGCAGTGGGCACCATGCTCTCAGGACCAACCTGTACTCTGTGCCTAAAGATTCAGGCTTTTCTTTCACTCAGAAGAATCCCGCCCAGGGTTCTAACAACTTCCCTGGCTCTGGAGTGGTGCTGGCTGAAATCGGAAATCATTAGATAAATTGTTAAAAGCCCCAAAGAAGAAAAGTCAGCTGTCTCTGAAGAGTGGATGGATCTTGGCACCACTATCACTGCCCAGTGAAGAGTTGTGATCAAAAGAACCCTGGAGAAAAGCAGGTAATGGGGCTTGAAACAGGTGAGCGCCCAGTGGGCTCAGCTCTGCATTTGCTCTCCTGTAGTCTCTGCCCATTTCTAGAGGGCCGAGCTCCTCTTCCCGGCGCATTGTAAATCTAGGGTCTACGCTGAGGTTGTCCCGCACCTGTTAGTGGCAAGGAAGGAGAAATTGACTTTGCGATTGCTTCTAATAAGAGGTTGCACTGTCTTGACAAGCTAAAGAATGTTTTCCCTTGGAGAGATCCACGGGCGCAGCAGTTTCTCCATTACAGACTGTTCTCCGCCTAATAAAAGGTCTGGCTCCGCTAAAGCGAATTTGTCCAGGCGACTGTCCGTTTAGGGAGTGATGACAGAGGCTGAGAGCTATGTATTTTCTCAGCGGTCACCATCTGAAACCTCACGGGTGGAAAACCTCTTCTCCCCTGGCACCTGAAAATGAGAGCGTAATGGAAACGGGCATTCCTGACACCGCAGGAAGGGAGGTCAATGGGCCTGAAGGAAACATCTGCTTCTGGACACACGGCTCAGGTGGACCGCAGCCCAGGCCACGGAGTCCTTGGGGA